GAAAGATGGTGCCTGGCGATTCTGCGTTGATTACAGAAGACGCAACGCCGTGACCAAAAAAGATGAATATCCGCTGCCTAGGATTGACGATGTTATTGACTGCTTACACTCGGCTTCGTACTTTTCTTCAATAGACCTACAATCAGGATATTGGCAGATACATATGCGCCCTTCAGACAAAGAGAAGACCGCATTCATGACGCCTGATGGACTGTACCAATTCAATGTGATGCCGTTTGGGCTTTTCAACGCCCCCGCCACTTTTGAAAGGTTTATGGACTCTGTCCTTCGTGGTCTTAAATGGGAGGTGAGATTATGCTACCTGGATGACGTCGTCATTTTTGGGCGTACCTTTGAAGAGCACAACGTCCGTTTAAGTCTTGTTTTAGACTGTGTCCGAAAGGCTGGCTTGATTTTGAACTCTAAGAAGTGCCGGTTTGGTGAACGACAAGCTTTAGTATTCGTTCACCTAGTTGACAAAGATGGTGTCAGGCCGGATCCCTGCAAAATCGAAGCGATCGGCAAATTCAAACCACCCCAGACACTGAAGGAACTTCGCAGCTTCTTGGGCCTATGTTCCTACTTTCGCCGCTTTGGGCCCCGATTCGCGGACGTAGTACACCCACTGACGAGCTTGTTGCGAAAAGACAGCCCATTCTAATGGACACCTGATTGTGATACCGCATTTTCTGAACTGAAACTTCTACTGACATCTGAGCCTATTCTTCGCCATTTCGATCCTTCTGCTCCGACAGAAGTGCACAGTGACGCAAGTGGAATTGGCATCGGAAGTGTGCTTGTTCAGCGCCATGATAATGCAGAGCATGTTGTTGCTTATACGAGTCGATCTCTAAGCAAGGCTGAAATGAATTATACGGTGACAGAGCAAGAATGTTTAGTGGTTGTATTCGCCATTCAGAAGTTTCGATATTACCACTACGGTCGTCCATTCACGATCGCGACAGACCATCATTCATTATGTTGGCTTGTTACCCTCCGAGACCCTTCTGACCACCTTGCTCGATGGGCTTTACGCCTTCAAAAATTTGACTTCAGCATTTCGTACAGAAGTGGACGACGTCATTCGGACGCTGATTGCCTTTCTCGCTTGCCTATGGCCACGACGGGGGACAGTGCAGATACCCTCGATATCTGTTTTGCTGCGGTCTCTCACACGTTTCCTGACGCCAATATCTTCAAACGAGAACAATTGAATGATTTATCTTTAGAGCCTTTGTTCTTTGACGCTCGGAATCTCAAAGGCAGTGGTCGCTTTCGCATTCGTGATGGACTGTTGTGCGAAACGAATTACTCAGCAACCGGTGCACGTTATTTACTGGTTGTACCTCAAAGTCTTCGATGCGACGTTCTTCGTACTATGCCCGATGATCCAACGTCAGGACACCTTGGGTTCATTCGCACCCTACATCGAGTGCAGCAGCGTTTTTACTGGCCTCGAATGCGAGATTGTACGAAACAATACGTCTCGAGCTGCTGGAACTTCCAGCGTCACAAACGACCTACCAGTGCACCGCACGGCCTTCTTCACCCCGTAGAACCGCCTACTACGCCTTTCGTGCTTGTGGGCATCGACCTATTGGGCCCGTTTCCGCGATCTTCAAACAACAACCGCTGGATAGTAGTGTGCGTCGACCACCTTACCAGATACGCCGAAACCGCTGCGATACCATCTTCTACAGCTGATGGCGTCACTGCCTTTTTGTTACGCTCCGTTGTTCTTCGCCATGGTCCACCTCAAGTAATCATCAGTGACCGTGGTCGCCAATTCATCGCGGACGCTGTGGAAGAATTTCTTCGCCTCTGCACTTCACAGCTCAGACATTCGACACCATACCATCCCCAGACGAATGGTCTTGTAGAACGCACCAATCGAACTCTTACTAACATGTTCACTATATACGTTGCATCCAATCACAAAAAGTAGGATGAGATATTATTATTTATTACTTACGCGTACAATACAGCGAAGCACGAGACCACGGACTTCACGCCCTTCTACCTGCTCTACGCTCGATCACCACGCAGCTCCCTTTATACAATCCTCCCATTTCAGAATCAGAATCAGAATCAAATTTTATTGTTACTATGAAGTAAAGTCATTACAGACAGTATACAGAAGGAGGTCCCGTAGTCGGAGACTGAATTGGGACCTCATGTGCATGATGAACATAAAAACAAATAAAACATAGCTTCGACAGGAAGGGAAAAATTCCAATAATCATAATGATATGGGTGATTTAAGCTCCATACCAATGAGTCCGTGGCCGAAACACTTTGCCGGGCTGAAGAAGCCCGCCAAATTGCTCGCTTGCGCACACTGGCATCACAAGATCGCTCCTAGCAACGGTGCGATCAACGCCATGATGCCATTTTATTCCGAAAAGGTGAATTCGTGTGGTTGTGGACCCCCCAACGAAAACCTGGTTTATGTCACAAGTTTTTACCGCAGTACACAGGCCCCTACGTCCTTGTAGATCGCTTGACTGACTTGACGTACGTTGTGGCACACTTGACGACACCTTCTCGTCGGTCAAATCGAACGCAGTTGGTGCACGTGGCTCGCCTCAAGAAATTTCATCCCTCCAGTGACTTAAACTCACCCAGCGGGCTTCGCCTGTGAACCGGGGATTGCTACGGTATGAGCCGGGCTGTAGTATGTGCCGGGTAGGTAGAAAAAGAAGACGACGTTGTCTGGTGCGGCCTGAGGACTCCATCTTTACCGTGACTACCGAACTTCATCCTCACCCTGTAAATAAATCCATATATATATATATATATATATATATATATATATATATATGTGTGTGTGTGTGTGTGTGTGTGTGTGTGTGTGTGTGTGTGTGTGGA